AAAAAAAAATCAGCTGTGACTTTTGGATCACTTCCCAAAATTCTGAACCTTAAAGGTCTGAAGTGGCAGCTCATGTTGCAGGTTCTGTTGGAACAATGATATGTAATGAGAACTTGAAGTACTGAAGTAAGTAGACTCTCTGACTTGGATTCATCTGAAGGTTTCAGGACTCGAGAACCCACTGATTTTGCTGAGGTACTAGGTTATTTTTAGACTTGAAAAGTGTGTTGTGTTTTAAAGGAAAAGGTCTTGTCATGGTTTGGGCTGTGGGGTTGTTGGTTTTTCTTCTGAGACCCAAGAGCTTGGGAAATGTTAAGGTCCCAGACAAATCCTATGCACGTCAGCCTACTTGTTCAGGTGTGCAGCATTTACCTATTTTAGTTAAGGTTGCTTTTTCCTCCACAGTGTCCAATATGAATTTTGGTTTTAATTTGGAAAACATTGTCATACATGTAATAAAAATCTGTTTCATTAGCAAAATTAAATCCCCTACTGCTTCTTCAGTGGGTGGATTTCAAGCTATCCAGTCTTCTGGGGCTGTCAGCTATGTATTTGAAACACTATGCTGGAAGTGGTGCTGTTGCCTCCTTCAGCAGCGTCTCTAGTGGGCAGTGGTATTTCAAGTACAGTTCCTAAGAGATTGCCATTACGTCTGGTCCTACGTATGTGCTAGCAGTATGTTCAGTCCACTCACCTGAGTTCTCTGCCTGCCTTACTTTGTCTTTTCCTCAAGTGCCTCTAACCTCATGTAGTATGCAAAAACGTTTGTGGTAATCACGAATGGCTATAATTTCAAACTACGGGGTGCCAAAACCTGTTTGTTTAACCAGATCCGTGTGGGGGGCAGTACCTGCCAAATATTTTCTTCAACTCCTGTTACTCAGGGCTCCATGTAGGCTAACATCACATGTTCTTGCACTAGTCTCTGCTGATTTGCAGGATTAAACCTCATGCAGCTGTCTGAGGAACTTTCTGAAGGATGAGTTTTAGCTACCCTGATCAAGACAAAACATCTCTGTGAGCGAGTTTTCCTTTTGGTAGGTCGAAGAACCCTTGCTGTTATCACAAAGCTGGATCTCATGGATGCTGGCACTGATGCTATGGATGTGCTTATGGGAAGAGTGATTCCAGTAAAACTTGGCATCATTGGAGTAGTGAACAGGTCTGTCTGGGCACATATTCTTAAAACTGCATTAATATGAAGGAATGCTTTCAGCTTTTTTAACCATGAGTATGATTTTAAGAGTAAGGTGACTTGATGTTGAAATAAGCTTCTGAAAGAAGCGAGAAGCTTGTTGCTGACTTTCCGAAGGCCTGTCTGTTCTACTCAACCAACTCCTAATTTAGAAAGGAGTAGGGACACTTCTAGAAGAACTGTAGCGTCGCTTCTTTCTGCTATTGCTTTTTAGCTCGGGGGATGCTTCTGGTCAGCTGTTCACACTAGCACTGATCCAGTAAAGAACTTGCACATGTTAGTGCAAATCCAGTGCTAACAGCGTATGGCTGCAGTGCTGTTCACTTTATTTTCTGCATTAGCTAGGTTTTGATAAAAGCATTTAGGCTACGTACAGCTGCTATACATACTGATTTATTGGTTATGCTGCATGGAACAACAAATAAACCCCTTTATTTGCAAGGAAGATGAGTTATGTGTGTCAAGTTGTTCAGCTGTCCTGTCCAGAAAAACAGGAGTGTAAATGATTTTTACTTTGCATCTATTAACTAGTGTGTAACTCTGCCTTTTAACTTCAGGAGTCAGTTGGATATTAACAATAAGAAGAGTGTAGCTGATTCCATTCGTGATGAGTATGGTTTTCTTCAGAAGAAGTATCCTTCCCTAGCCAATCGAAATGGAACCAAGTATCTTGCCAGAACACTGAACAGGTATTACATATTATGTAAAATAAAATAAATGTGGGCTTTTAAAGATGCTTTAATCACAGAATCACTAAGGCTGGAAAAGACGTATAAGATCATCTAGTCCAACCATCAACCCAACACTACTGTACCCACTAGACCGTGTCCTCAAACACCGTGTTTACACGTTCCTTGAACACGTCCAGGGATGGTGACTCCACCACTTCTGTGGGCAGCCTGTTCCAGTGCCTGACCACTCTTTCAGGGAAGAAGTTTTTCCTAATATCCAACCTAAACCTCCCCTGACGCAACTTGAGGCCGTTTCCTCTTGTCCTATCACTAGTTACCCAGGAGAACAGACCAGCACCTGCCTCCCCACAACGTCCTTTCAGGTACTTGTGGAGAGTGATAAGGTCTCCCGTCAGCCTCCTCCAGGCTAAACCCTTCCCCAGCGTTGTCCTTGCAGTGAGGGCCCCAAAACTGAACACAGTACTTGAGGTGCAGCCTCACCAGTGCTGAGTACAGGGGCACGATCACTTCCCTACTCCTGCTGACCACACTGTTCAAGGTATAAATTGGTGTGTTAGCATTATGTGTTAACATTTATTTTTACCTTTCCTTTCTGTTTTGGTGCTACATTAGAGATACATTAGAGAAAACTCTGGGTCCAAATTCAGTTTCTGAGTTTACTGTAATTTTCCTGAGGAAATGTTTTCCTTTGGTGATTATATTCTGTCTCTTCTCTGTTTTGATGGAGATGATAAAGCTGAAACTTCTCCTCCTTTCTAATGAGGGACGGTTTTCTGTTTTTAGGCTACTGATGCATCATATCAGGGATTGCTTGCCAGAACTGAAAACCAGAATCAATGTTTTAGCTGCTCAGTACCAGTCTCTACTGAACAGCTACGGAGAACCTGTTGAGGACAAAAGTGCCACTTTATTGCAGCTTATTACCAAATTTGCCACAGAATATTGTAACACCATTGAAGGAACAGCGAAATACATAGAGACTTCAGAGCTGTAAGTACCAAATGATCTTCTAGCACATTCACTGAGCGGTTAAATTGGCACAGTGGCTCTTGCTAGCTTTCATTGGCAATGGTGCTACACTACAGCACAGCATACTCAAAAATCTTGGAATCCAGCTAACTCTAAAAAACGTTTGCAATGAGAGGCTTTTTTCTTGTTTGCTGCTTCAATTGTTATGTTATTCTTTCAGATGTGGCGGAGCCAGAATCTGTTACATTTTTCATGAAACCTTTGGAAGAACTTTAGAATCTGTTGACCCGCTGGGTGGCCTTAACACAATCGATATTCTGACTGCCATAAGAAACGCTACTGTGAGTGTTCTGTATTTCTAAGTGGTGTTATACAGTTCCAACAAATCTGTGCTCCTTCAGTCTTGTGAATTAATCATCTCAGCTGAATGAGTTCATATGAAGAGGCTGAATCCTGCTCTTTGGTATTTTAAGTGGAAAAATGACAATATCCACATTTGCAGCCATTATCCATCATATGGAATGAGCTGAAGGTGAATGCTTACATCTCATTACAGTTATTTACAGACTCCAATACAGCTCAGGCTTAGCCTTGGCAACTCTGTGCTGAAGCTATTATGTATTGCAGAAATGGGGATGGAACGAGCGCCACTGCGTTTGTTTTGCGTTCAGCTCTTCTGTTAGTTATGAAGACTCAGTCTGAGGTGTATGGACAAGGACATTCAGATATTTTAACTCTATATAAGGGACACAACTCTTCAGTGGTTCAGTGTTTACATGACAGATTTGGCTTCTTGTGAATATGGGAATTTGTGTTGCTAAGAATTATCAGAGTAAGTTCACTAACAAATTTTGCAGTATATCGAATGTTTGCTTCTTAGAACCTGACTTTGGATGTCAAACACAAAGTCTGCTTTTGTACTGTGTTCTCTTGGGTGTGCACAGACAGTCGGGTTCCTGCATGGTTACTGCAATAATTACTCAAACTCGGAGCGCATTAGGTACTCTGCAGCAGTGATCTGTGTGCATGCTCTTGTCCTTCTGTAAACATAAACCAGCCTTTAGTAACAGGAGACATCTCTTGTTTTTCATGTGACATACCACATCTTTGTGTTTCTAAAGCTCATTTAATTTAAAAAATAGAAAGAATTTTCAGATAAATGTTTCATGTATAACTAAGCATTGGTCATAAATGAAGTTATCCCAAAGACTGTAAATAGGTGACCCTGTATTATGATTATGCTTAACAGAAAAAACCCACCTACCTTGCAGTAAGAATGGTTTGCTCAGGAGTGTCAAACAAATAATAGTAACTTTTCTCTCTGAAGTTAGGAAGAGAATGTCTTTGCCTTTATAATAAATTTCCTTTAAACTTGGATCCACAAATGTGAAAAGAATTGTTAATAGCTGTAAACCTAGAGTGACATTAGTAGGTATAATCTTCAAGATTCTATAAGGATGCTGGTTAATCATTATTTAACACAGGGTTTGTCTTAAAGCTAATAACTTTATTTTATAGCTTTTGTATTTATATATATATTTGTAACTTATTTTATTCTTAAGATCAGTTCTGAGTGTTTTTCTGGGTGTGAGCATTGTGACCTGATTTATTCTGGGCATCATCAGGTACTACTTCTTAGAAATATGTGGTGTTTTAATACACAATTCAGGACCTTTTTCTCTCTTTTTGAACTAGGGTCCCCGTCCTGCCTTGTTTGTTCCTGAAGTTTCATTTGAATTGCTGGTAAAAAGGCAAATCAAACGTTTAGAAGAACCTAGCTTGCGCTGTGTGGAGCTGGTTCATGAAGAAATGCAGAGGATTATCCAGCACTGTAGTAATTACAGTACGCAGGTAAAAATGCATGGTTTAGAATTATGTTTGTAATTATTGGGATTTTTTTTCCCTCCACTTCCCTAAAAAATTCTGAAGTCTCATTGGTAAAATTTTGCTTTGTTTTTTAGGAATTATTGAGGTTTCCTAAATTGCACGATGCCATAGTTGAAGTAGTAACCTGTCTTCTGCGTAGAAGACTTCCCGTCACAAATGAAATGGTAATTTTTCATCTAGTATACTTTTGCTGGAAAAGTGTGTGAATTTGAGCCTTTCTTGGTGCTTCTCTTTGCTCTGTAATGTCAGAAACACAAACTACTAGAGGGATCATCTTATATTTGTTAAATAGCTAGGTATTTAATATCGACATGTTTTGAAACTTCTTCTATATTAGAAGGTAGATACAAAAAGAACCAAAGGGGTGGGGGAACCCCCTTCAGCTGATTGTCCCCCATGTTTCAATTCCCCAAGAAGAATTTTACTAAAACCTGTATTTAACATCTTCTGGTCTTCCTGGTATAGGTGTCTATCCCTTGTAACAAAAGCTGTGGATGAACTGTAGAGTTTGGGATACAATGATGAAAATTAAATTACAGTCCTTATTCTGTGTTAGAGATAAAATCAACACAAAATGTTGATTTTGCTTGTAATGCCCTTTACCTTGTGAGAACTAAAAATTCAACTTCTTCCTCTGAGTAAATATGTTTTAATATAAAACTCTGCTCTGGGCTGCTTTTTGGGGAGGAAACAGTGTTTCAGTTATTGACTCTGCGTGTGTTTGACGCGGAAAGCACAAGTTGTTGCATGTGCTCGCTGTCCCCCACAACGAGGAGCCATCTCTCACTGGTTCCAGTGTAGTCTGTGGCTTGTGGCTGGAGGTGAACTATCTGGCTCTCTTAATTACCAGACAGCCTACATTCATTAAATTGCTGAGTTTGTTTATTGCTGGGGAGAGGTTAGCTTGATGGAGCTAACAAGTTAAACTGATGTAACATCCAAAACCGACCGAAAGTCTGAATGTATTGCGGTGAATGAGTGAGTTCCCCTCTGGCCTTCTGGGTCAGAACTTGAATGTCTTGGGGCAGTGAGAACGGTGTTTGCTACGGGCAGGTGGACGGCGCTGTCCAGCACTGTGGGTCTTCGCTACCACCGCAGTTACTTACTGAGTTTTTGACCTCAGAATAACCTTGCATTGCAGGTTCATAATCTAGTGGCCATTGAGTTAGCTTATATCAATACCAAACATCCAGACTTTGCTGATGCCTGCGGTTTAATGAATAACAACATAGAGGTAAGAAAATACATTCTCTTAATTTTGACTCCTTTAAGTGAGAGCCTAAATAACTGGTAGAAGAACAAATGCTTCGTTTTCTTTCACTGAAGCATGGTTCTGCATCTTGAAGTAGAAAAAAGTGACATATTACAAATACGGTGCATACTGTTACCTTGTGATCTGTTGTTTTGTTAGATTTATACTGCATATTGTATTCAGGAACAGTGGTTGAGATTTCATGGAAAACATTTCTGCCTGTATTTCTGTCTGGAAAGTAAGATGGGCACCTCACTGAGTATTGGCTATTAAATGAAATTTTTGGAAGAGAAGCTTTAAATAGATGTGAAACACTCTTTAACGTTGACGTCATTGAATTTTGTCTCTGATTGAATGTAGCAAGAGCTATAATGTTCCTCCCATTCATGAAAGGATGATACAAGTATTGTTTCTTCTATTCAGGTTCTAATTTCTGCTTCTTTTTGGCACTGTTCTTGAATCTCTGTGTTACCACGCTTCGGTCTCCCTAAAACTATTTTCTCCATCAATCTCCCATAGGCCTTTTACAGTTTCAGTGGTCCTCTGTTTTTCAAGCCCAGCTTTGCTACTACTTGTTGCTGTCATCATCCTATGGAAGCAGTTGTTCTGCAACTGTTCTGCTCAGTTCTTCTTTGCAGTCTGATTTTGTTGCAGTCCTTCATTCATCTGGCTAAGAGCTCAGTAATATTCCTATGTTCCCCTGCTTATCCAACACATTATTTCATAGTGCCATTTTTTTTTTAAATGCTTGTGTTATCATTTCTGCTCTTCAGTTCTAACTTTTTACTTTGTTCTATGCACAAATTTTGCATTGACTGGGTGTGCAGTTGAATTTGCCTTGGCAGTCTGCTCTTGAATCTAGTTCAGAAACAATGTGTGTGCAAACTGCCGTGAGTACAAAAATTAGGACTCTGAAGTTGAACATATGAGGCTATTGTATTATCATGTGTTACTTAAACTAGTTCCTTCCCAACATTTTCCTGAAAGGGACATCAACATTTTTGAAGAAACAAAGCACGTAAAACATCTTATCTTTATTCACTGGGCAATCAGTTCTTAATTTCAAGAAAAATCAGACCTTTGTTTGTCCTGATTGCTTCAAATTCTGGATTGCTATAAAGTGAATTCTGCCTTCTCCTTCCTCCTTTTGGTCTAATCATAGTTAACCCTGCTGGCCACCATATCAAATCCTTTTAGATTACTTTGAAGACTTCAAGATTAATGAGGGCTGTAGGGTTATCTGTGCTGAGCCAAACTGTGTAGCTTTGATCGTGGTTTTTTAAAGGCTCTAGTTTTGATTATGGAGTGAGTTGCAAAAAGTTTTGCAAAAGATTTTTATATTGAGAATTTATTTTTGACCAGGTAATCAGAGTAGTTTTATCCAAATAATTGAGGTTTTCGTAGTATGACCACATGACACTGGGTGAGATGAAATGTCTAGTGTTTGTCTCCAAAATGTAAGTCATCTGTAAAATACAAATTTTGCATGTGTGTTGATGCAGCGTGATACATAACTGAGGTCTTGCTGGATTGTTTTTAAAGGAACAAAGGCGTAACAGGTTAGCCCGGGAATTGCCTTCTACTGTGCCACGAGACAAGGTAAGTAAATACTGATTTTTATTTATTTATTCATTGAAAGTTTAATGCATTCTTCTTTGATCCAATCTGAGTATTGGAAACTTTGATATGCTGCCCTAGTAAGAGTCTTGGGAGCTTCCAGGTATTGACTTTTTTCTTTCAATTTCATAAGGTAGAAGCGGAATGTTATTTTCTTCCAAAGATGCAGTTTTTGGCAGGTCCCAAGATTCATTAAGTTTGTTAGCTTAAGAAGTGAGAGAAAGTCTTAGAGTGGCTCTAATATAAGTGCCTTCAGTCAGTAGAAGCCAGCTGATGGATGAACTGGGAATTTAAGGTAGCTATCTGAACAGTGCTTTCAGTGCTCTGTGATCCTTCCTTTTATTGACTTTATATCATTAGCGCAGGAGCCAAAATGAAATGTCAGATAAGCCAAATCTCTTAACAGTCTTGGAGAGGCCTTTTTTCTGCTCATGTTTCTGTTTTGCTTGCAAATTCAAAATACTTTCTTTTCCTGATTTTTAAAGATGCTAGTAGGTGAAAGTGTATGACATGTACTAGGTAGATTTGGTCTTCAGTTGAAAATATTTTTTTTTCCCTCCCCCACCCTGCATATTTTACCTTCCTTAGTCTACTAAGGCTCCAGGTGTATTGACACCTGCTTCCCAGGAGGCTGTTACTGCTGCTTCTGCTGAGGCTGATGGCAAGGTCTGTCATGATTTTTCCTATAAGCACTGCATGCGCATATCTGTTGTGGTGCACGGCAGCCAGCACAGAAAGCAGTTTGTGTGTAGCGCCGCCACCCGCACGCTGTGCCCTGCAGAGCGTAGTGGCAGGTGAAGGGGTGCTGTTAGGTGGCAGTGCCACTGCTTTCTGTTTGAACTCTCCGTTGCAATGTATTGTGGTGTGAGTAAGGTGCCTCAGGCGGTCATCAATAGATCGCTTGGTGCAACAGTATTGTAATCCAAAGTGTTCAGCATGGTTGTTAAACTGCATGTTTTTAATGTGTTGACAGTTAAAGAAGGAGGACAGAAGATAAGCTAAAAATGTGAGTTTCCTGCTTTCTGCAGGGAATCTTTACAGGCTTTGTTCAAACTGACCTTCCTTCTTGTTCCGCATAATTGTTCAGTCCCTGGTTTATTTACATTTGTGAAATGTGTTCTGCAGTGTTTTTTACATTTTAGGTGTGCTGTGTCTCGTGTTCAGATAAAAGCTCATTACTCTCAAGATTTTTTTGCTAACTGCTTTCACTTGGAGTCAGAAAAGATGGGTAGTCACAAGTTTGTGTATTAGGAGTACCAAGCGGACTCGGACGTTCTGCTTTATTCCATATCCACACTCAGCTGCTAGTGCAAAGCTGCCATTTCTGTCCTGAACAAAGGAGTTAAAAGTCAAAACCTAGTCAGTAGTAGAATTTTAACTATTGTTTTCATCAGAGTTTTAGAGGTTCTGATAAGCTGCAAACATTAAAAAAGAAATCAAGAGCTCCTGTGAGGATACTGTTGTGACTTGAAAAGTTGCGGGAAGCTGCCAAATTGGTTTGTGTTTCCCACAAAACCTCTCCTTTGTTAGGGGTACATCCTCAGCACTCTCTCTCATGAAAGAATGTAGCTTTGTTTCTGAAACTACTTTGGAAATAGAGCAGGCTCCACAGTAATACTGCAGGAGAGTGGCATAGGGATTTTTGCCATTTTGAATAGCTGTCTTGCAGTCAGAGAGCTTTCCTCATCAATGGCTCTCTTATTAGTAGAGAATTATTTACATTACTATAGTGTATTTTTTCTGGTGCCTCTGAACAGTTGTGCAATTTTAATACAATTTCTGATGTGGGCAGCTCAGCTTTTCCTCCTAGTACACAGCTATTTGTATTCTATTTGCCGTGCTTTGTTTCCCACTGTTTCTGTAGTCTTGAGAGCAGCCTGTGGTGTTTGAAGTGTAAACACAATAGGTATGTTTAGCTTATTTCCACCTATACCTGAAACAAGACATAAGTAAAGTAGCTCAGAGCCTTGAATGACCTTGAATATTTTTCAAACAGCAATAGGTTTCAAAGCGCAGTAATGAAGAGAATACTAGGCATTATGGAAAGGTATGAATTAGAAATTATCACTGTTCCACAGAAAAATAAACTGTCTTTTCTTAAAAAACAAAACAAAAGCTGATTTAAAATATGGTAGATAACCATCTACTAATATTTCTTTTTTCCAGTGATTCCTAATGTGTAAAAATTGGGTGCTATGTCCTTCTTTGAAGTCGTTCTTTGTCTGGGACTTCCCAGAAACTCTGATTTTTCACCTCCAGAGGTTGGAGATTTTGGGGTATTTGTGATTTGGTACAAAAAAGTCTTCTGTAAATTGAGGTCTAGCAGCACAAATACGTTCATAGCTGTGGTACCCAGAAACATAAATACGCATATTTTTTTAGCTGTTATTATAAGAAACTTCAGTTTATATTTAAATAAAATACCAAGGAATTGAAATTCAAGTTTTCCAAGAGCTGTGGTGATCTTCAAAACATACTTTCAGAATGATCCTAATAGCATAGGTTGTTTTGCTCCAAGGATATATGGTAAAAGTGGTAAAAGCCAAATTATTTAGGAAGACCATAACATATTTCAGATCTGATTTGTAGACCCCTAAACTTCTGGCAAGCTTCTCTGTGAGGCATGTTCTTAGCATTATTAGCAAGAATAAGAGTTTTGGACGCTTTCATTTTAGTAGTACTTTGTGTCAGCCTTACGCAGCAAAGGGACACCAAAGGTGGGGAATGTGAAGAAGAGAATAAAAGGAATATATATATATGAACACCTGATTTTTAGTGAGGTGTATATATTTACTATAGCTCAGCAATAGTAGATTTGATCAGACACTTCTTTGCAGCACCCAAGTTCTAACTCTCCAATGTTTCTCCACTGTGCTGTTTCTGCAGGCCGCTCCTGGCGCGGGAGATATGTCTCAGGAACCAGCAACAGGCAACTGGAGAGGCATGCTGAAACCCTCAAAAGCGGAAGACGTATCGACAGAGGAAAAATCCAAGCCAGCTGCAGCCCTACCTGCTAGTCCTCAAAAAGGACATGCTGTAAACCTGCTAGATGTGGTGAGTCGTGAAGGATGATACCTCCTCTTCAAAGTTTAGGCTCAGGAAAGAAAACATCTGAATTCCAGATCTTGTAACTTTGCTGTAAAACATTACTGCTATAGGGACAGGGAGCTCTAGGTAGTCTACTCTTCTCCTTTCCTGATTGCCCATTTTTTCCCCCAAATCACAGGCTGAAACTGGAGGGAATAATTGACTTCCTTTCACAGATTCCTGTGCAAGTGAACTCCTTGTCTAGATTGCTCTTCCTACAGAAACACTCAGCTCATGTCTCGACTCAAATGCCTGCTCTCTTTTGCTGAAGCTGGTGTTTCTGTATTAAAGGAAAAGAATCATTAAAACCAAAAGCCACTAAAGTTAAAAATTGATTGAGATCCTTGAAGTGTTTGGAGACCTTAGTTCCTTTTGTGAGCTTAAAAAAAAAAATCAGTAAGTGGTGCCCTCTGACCTTTGTTTCACAGATCTGGATTTTGACATGTCTCTAATTCTGTTCCGAAGAATTAAGAGGTTTATTGCAGACAGGTTACATCTATCAAACTATCAGACTAGAAGAGCAATAGTTTTAGACTCCACAATTTGAGTAAACTGAGGTTTTTATTTTTTTTTCCATAGCCTGTACCTGTTGCACGCAAACTTTCTGCCCGTGAACAACGAGATTGTGAAGTGATTGAACGACTTATTAAATCTTACTTCCTTATTGTCAGGAAGAACATTCAGGACAGGTAAAACAAAACTTGCTAAAAGCGTTTAAGCCATACAAATGTTGTGACATCTTAAGAGTTACGTACACAATCTTGTTATTTTATCATGTTCTTATGTTTGTGAGCAGAGAGAAAATACAATCTTTGTTTTTTAGAAGGGGCAGCAGCAGTAGAACTTGAACCTTCACAGAATTAAGAAGCCTGAAGAAGCACTTGTTTTCTCTAATGGTCCTAGTTCTGCATCATATTAAGTAAGAGGTTAATTGTTGAGGAGATGCCTGCTTTTCTGGAGGACACTGCAATTCAGATGGATGATTTGCAGCAAATAACTATAATAATGAACTCTAGGTGCTGTCTAGTCTTGACAGAACTTAGCATTGCCGTCCTGGTGTTTCAAATGGGAAGGTCAAATAGGAATTACTGTGTCTAGATTTTCTAGTACTTAGCTGTAAGGATGGAAATAGCATGAAAGTGGTGTTTCTGCTGCATGCAACTATGGAAAATGCCTTTAAAGTTTTGCTTAAAAATTGTCTTTGTTTGTTTTAATGAAGAATGATGTAGAAGTTTGCTTTGCTTAAATCTTTGTGGGAATACCTTATTTTTTATTTATATATATGGGAAATTTTGTTGTGGGAATACCTTATTTTTTATTTTATTTATATATATGGGAAATTTCTGGGGGAAAAGAGGAATCTGGAAACCAGAGCTTAGCGCAGGTTAGTGAGGTCATAGAAGTTTTATTGTATCTAGTAAACTAATATTGTCCTCAATACAATTTTTAGTATTTCATGGCGGGGAATTGCTTTTTTTACAGTAATTTTACTGCAGTGTTAGTACTGGTAGTGTTACCTCCTTGAATGTTTAGAGTACTAAACATTCACATTGTTTGCAGTAAATATGCATACATAACAGTAATAATAAAATGCTGTCTCAAGCATTATAAATTTGCTGTATTAGGACATCCTCACCTAATTTAGAAATATTTTTAGGAAATACCTCTCGAAGATGGTATTCGTGTCCATCCTGTACCACAGTTGTAGAAGTAATTCAGGATGGTGTCTGTACCTGCACAGCTTTCAACATGAGTTTTGGGTTGCTTTCGCTCTTAGCCAGGTGACTTCCAAAATGTTCCAGGCTGCTTTCTTGAACCCTTCCTTTGGTAGAACTTGCAATGTATTGGCTTGAATGGAGGAGGTTCTAAATTGACTTAATTGAGTACTAATAGATCTATATGGTCTCATCAAGATCTCCCAGAAGCCTTTCCGTAACTGGCTATTAAAGAACCGTAAAGCAGCAGAATGTAGTGGGAAAATTCCCAGCCAAACCTGGAAATACGATTTGGGGAGCTCAGTTGTGTTGGTGGATCTTGGTTGATTTTGGGTCTGGCTGTTTAGACTTGCATCATCGTCAATTCTGCAGTGGCACTTACAGCACTCTGGGCAAAAACACCTCATCGTCAATTCTGCAGTGGCACTTGGGCAAAAGCACTTGATCTGCCTGTGAAAACTGTTTTGACTTAGATCTAGGGCTGTGGGCACACGAGAGGAGTGACGGAGTCAGTATGGATGGTACGTCAACTCCCAGTCCACTCCAGTTGCAAAAACTGCTGCTGAGAATTACACCAACAGGGTTGTCCAAACTAACATGTTTTATTTCTCAGCTGGGAACAGCCACCAGTATTCTTAGTGTCAGTTCCTGTCACTCTGACAAAATAACCTGAGGATCAGTTTTTGGTCCTGTGTTTATACCCCCAGATTTTGGTACTGTGTTAGTAAGATGATTTGATTTTGTCATTACTCATGTAAATGTTCTCTCCCACTTTTTCAGAAGAGTACTGCTACACATGTCCTAAGTCACAGGGAAAATCGGGTGCAGCTAGATTCAGTACTTGGAATTTTTTTCAGGAAGCTTAGTGGCATAGAAATCGATGCTAAGACAGTGGTTTCTTTCAGGTGTTTTAGCCTGACAGAAAAATGTTGCTGTACAGATTCTGTAGTGTTTTTCTGGTGCACTGTTCTTGACTCTCACCAGTTGCTGCCTGTCTCCATGCCAGACACATGTATTCTTCACACGGACTGCATTTGCAGGTTTCAACTGCTCTCCCATTATGCTCTCTGACATCAGAGGTCAGGTGGCCCGGTGTCTGAACAGTGACCCTGTCTTCAGTTCATCCGCAGAGTAAAATCTGACCTCTTCCCTTTCTCAGTGACAGGTCAAGATTGATTCTGGGGTTGAAATAATTAGCTTTTTGTCATGCTTGGCACAGTGGAGACTCAGGTTGGTCTTTGAAGAGCAAAGTAATTTTATTTTTTATACAACATATATTCTTTACAATACAGCTACCCTGTTTGGAAGAAATTCAACAGCCCTGAAGTTGCACAAGATAACTGCATTTACTCGAGAGGGGTTTTTTATTTATGGCAGTGGTAGGTTCCTGGTAGTCTGAGCCAAGTTGTGTGTAGCTGCTTGCTCACACTGTGTGTTCCTCAGTCTAGAGCAGACCTGGTTTTGAATACATCTTTCTGAAGAAACAATCTTTGTGCTTTCAGTGTGCCAAAGGCAGTGATGCATTTTCTGGTGAACCACGTAAAAGACACACTGCAGAGCGAGCTGGTAGGCCAGCTGTATAAATCCTTGTTGTTGGATGACCTTCTGACGGAATCTGAGGACATGGCACAGCGCAGGAAAGAGGCAGCTGACATGCTAAAGGTATTCAAAAGACCAGGAGCTCGTGGGAGTGGTTAATGAAATTGAAACCATAGAAATGTGAGATTTTTTGGAAGACTTGCCTTCCTTTTTCTTTGCTGTTTTTCAAAGAGTATGTCAGTGTCTTGCTTTTCTCTACTAGAGGAATTAAAAGCAGTATGTGACCAGAAAGTATCATCTGGATTGAGTACTTGGGGAGAAGGGACTTAAACTATATTTTGGACATAAAGCAGAAGTTCCACTCTGGTGTTATTTTCACTTCTACATTTGGTTTTAATAATTTGCTCTTGTACTACTTCATAGTGTTCAACAGTTCTCTTTTGAAAGATTAAGCTTACAATGTTTTAATCATGTGTACTCATCGCACTGAGCCGGAGAGTCCCCTGTGATACAGACAGTGGAGATGCTGGGACTCGCGTGTACGTCCATATGGCGGTGCGTTTGTGACACGTCCGCGTTACAGAACTCTTCATTTCCTCACTGTTACTTACGTGGTGTATCAGAGTCGGCCAGATCCGCAGCAGAAACACGCTGCTGTGTGCTGAACTGCACAGAAGAGGGTCCCTCTGCCAGCTCAGCCCACTGAAGAAGTAGCAAGTGGTGCTTCCCCCTCCCTTGCGGTGTGGTCGGACAGCGCGTGTTTGAGGGACTGGGTACCCCGAGATAACCACCTGCAGCAAGTTTAATCTTTGCTGTTATACTGTCAGCATTTGAGTGACGGGCACTGTCTGCTTAGTCTTTTATAAACTTCATGGTGTTAAAGCTCGGATTTCCCCAGATTGGAGGAACATGTGAACTAATGTTAGTTGGTATGCCGAGCTTTTAAATTCGCAGTGTAGCAGGCCAGACCGCAGAATACATCAGGATACTACAAGTGTTGTAAAACAGGTGCGGTTTGCTTTTCATTTTGAGGAAGGTTTAAAGCATTAAAGCTGTCAGGGTGTGGTGAAGAAGTCAGCCCTCCTTAGGAATTTATTTATAAACACAAAACATTCAAACACACATAGGTGTTACTGGGAACACCGAGCATGTAAAAGTTGCTCAGAACAATGACACTGACTGGTTTGCGTGAAACTGGAAGTTCAGTTTTCAATTAATTGTTAATTCTTAATGTCTCTAGAGAAATGATTCAATGACACTTATGCTAAGTTTTACCCTTGCCTTTCACTTTGTAGTATTTATTTTCCACTTGTATCATCTTTTGCAGAGGAAGGGCATGAGACTTTAATCGATGTTCTTGCAGGTCGTTACCACTCACTTGGTAATGAAGAAGATTAGCTTTCATTGGATTTTTCATGTCAGGCTGAAGTAACTTTGTGGCTTTTTTGTCTTCCTGCGTGCAGGCCCTGCAGCGAGCCAGTCAGATCATCGCAGAGATTCGGGAGACACATCTTTGGTGAAGACTGTACCAGCCACGCTGTTCCTATGCGATGGAGGTTCCACTGACTTGAAAATTGCTCGGCATGGTATATGGAGTAGAATTTTTATTTATGAACTCTTATCTGTGTACTGCAACTGTGTAAATCTGCTCATGTAAAGACAGTTGGTTTGATTTGCAAACAGAAAAATATGCTGTATTTTGCGAAGTAAGTCATATTTAATCCACATAATAAATGGCTCTAAATGTTTCCTGACCAGCTTTCTGGTGCACATTAAAGCAGACCAAGTCTACTGTCTCAGTGACAGTCTCATCTGAACTTGGGGAAAAACCTTAAAGTTCCAGTGCCTGACTTGCTCAGCAGGTTGCCTGTGGCTGAGATGGACGGTGTAGTCTTGTGGCGTAGTTTTAAGCTGCTTTTACAGTAGAAGTTTTGATACCGTGAAGAGAAGAGAGCACCGAGTATTTTCTTTCACGACTACCTTGCATGCAGTACGACAGGCGGAGCTGTCAGATTTATCGCGCAGTAGAGACGGCTGCCGCATTACCGTGTACGTGTCTCCCCAGTTGTTTCCCCAGATGTTAAAAACTGCAGACAACACCCCGAACTTCATTTAATGGAGCATCGTGTAGGAGAAAGTAGCCTGGAGCTTGCGGACAACAGCAGCCTACTACGAAGTGGGTGCCGAGTTATTCATGTGCACTGGAGCTTGTGTGTAAACGTTGGGGATGGTAATCAGATACAAGAACACCTTCCCCTTCCTCCCCCCCGGGACCAAGCCCCTGGACCATCTGACAGTAAACTTGTTTGGGCAGAGTTGAAAATAAAAATGGATTTCAAAACTGTGATGGGATAATAAGTGTTTCTTTTCAAGACAGATTTAGTTGGCCAGGGAGAAGGGGATCCCAACAACTTCTTCCAAATTTTGGAATGTATGGAAGTATGAAAGAAAGTCTGTGGGATCGGAATATTTATACCAGAGGTTACAGTCACTTTCGAGGAAATTTTACTGTGCTGTAAGTAGCACCTTTTTTTCCTTTTTCTGACAATCCTACTATTAAGAAGGTTTAAGTTGGACATTACGTCAATGAGTTTTTTTCTGATTATGATTCATACAGAGAAATATTGATCACAGTAGCCTTTAAAAAGTAAACATTTTAATTTTTACGAGTAAGAATTTAAACTCCAGCCACCACACCCACATGTACTTTTGCAGATTCACTTTTTTGTATAAAAATGTTTACTATGGTGTTGCTGATCTTGTATCTTTAACACAACTTGCATGAAAAATATGACACTGCTGTTAACATCCATGGCTTGCTTTTACAATACTGGGCCAATATAGTGAGGTTTTTACTTCTTTCCCCATTTCATCAGTTAACAGAAATGGAATTCCTTGTGTAAGCTGCTCAAGATTGAAAACTTAAAATCTGTTTAGACCTCAGTTTACAGAAAGGTCTGTTTAAAAATGTATTTTTCTCATGGTAATCTTGAGTTTGGCACTAATACAAGCACAGGGAGGGAAGTATTGACAGATGCAACTTTTGGATACTTTACGCATGACCTGAAATAATTCATGCAAAACACAAATACATTCTGTATCTTTAAACCACCTAAAAAGTCATAACGTGTGTGATATGTGTAGTGAACACAAAGGAAGTCATTTTAACTTCTGGCATTGTATCCATGGATGGTAGTTCTCAGATTTCAGAAATGTGACTGTAGTGAAGTACAAGCCACTTCTCAAATCCATTTTGGTGACCAGTGAAAGCTGTTAATAGTTTTGTGAAAAGCATTACGTCTCTGGTTGGAATTCACCTGGCAGCTCGCTCCCTTTCAACATTTAGGAAGTAGGTTTTCGGCAAGGCAGAGCTGTCCGTAAGTGAACTCCTACGTAGCTTTTAACTCCCAAAGCTCAGTCAGCAGCCTCTCATGAGGACATATTCCTACTTGTAAAGTTTTGAAACGCCGCGTAAAGCAAATGACTTCCATTTACTTAAGAAACTCTTGCAAGTGATAACTGGCTCTGTAATGTCATGTGAAATTTCCACAGTGTTAATTTGTTTTCTGAAATGTCCCGACTCTTTTCTCTGAAGTTTCACAACTATTTTCAGTTTGGTAGTGTTTGAGTGCCGAGAAATAAACATGATTTGTTCTCCTTCATGCAAGTCTTGAAAAATCCATGCTGTAACCATCCTGTTATTTAATAAACAGATAGTACACACAATGACCCCAGGACACGAGTTTTGAACTGACTTGTAGTTCAGGTGGCCGGACTTCTCTGCCGTTAGGAGTTAACAGTGTGACTACCTGTATCTGTACGGCCTTCAGCGTTCTTGCGCTTGCCCTCCTGCACTTCTAGGCTGTTGTTCTTGTACACCTGCCTGAGTAATACTGTAGACAGGCTGCTAGTGGTTTCTAAACAATCTGTTGTCTGGCACTGAACTAAAATACTTAAAATGCTACTGTTGCTGCCAGCAATGAAAGAAATGATGGGGAAATGATGAGGAGAAAAAGCCTAATGAAGGCAGCGACTGAAAAATTCCCACATTAGACTAACAGTTTACAAATGTCTTCTAGTTCCCCTTATGTAACTAGAAATACTTTTGTCATCAGTGCACAGATTTCAGCTAACTGAAAATAAGTTGCTATCCAGTGAAACAGGCCATCATGGGGGAGAATAACCACTGTGGCTAAATTTATGTTAGTAAATGTTTGACATTAATACCTGACCTATGGCTGGTACTACTGTAAATAAAACACTATCCCTGTGTGAACAGAGTTCGACAGTAACTTGGTTTTGTTGTGGTCGGTTTCAAATGTCACTTGGGGAATAGATGGGTAATGGGGGGGGTCTGTGTGCTTCAAACTGTATTCTGAGGTAAACAGAACAAAAACTTATGTAAAACTTGCCTTTACCCTGTGCTGGAGGACTGACTCTGAAAGATGCCGGGTGGGATACTGCAAACTCAGGTGCCTGTTTTGTGGAATACAGCACAGGAAACAACTTGCTGTCTGTTGTGGCCCTGTTGGTAGCTTGAACTGAGTTGAAGTGTTTTTTTTCACAGTTCAGACCTTTACCTAGCAGAGCTGCTGCTAGCTCATGTTTTCTGTAGATACTGAAGATCTCAAATGCATCTGCTTTTTAACTTGTTGCCAGTTCCACTCTGCTTTGAGGTGAGAGCTAGATGATTAATACGTCAGGGGTTAAGAGAAAAACAGGGCAGATGATCACCTCAGTATGGTTCTGTGCCCAGTGACACTGTTTAAACTAGTGAAGGTGCTTTCACGCTGCGATAGCTCCCTTCTGGTTTACCTGCTGCACACCCGCTCGCCTCGTCATTGTTAGCCGCCACAATAATGTTAACGTTCAGGTCCTCCAGTTTTTGCTGTCCCCAGACACTGTATATGTCTGGGATGTTGTTGTGGGTTTGTTTTTAAATACCTGGCCCAAATAATTACTTTTGTTCTTGCACTTCCAAATCACACATTTGTAGACATGTTAAATACTTTAATATTAGCTACTACTTGTTTGCATTTGCACAAGCTCTGTCTCTGATGACCTGTTTAGGGGTATATGAGGAACGAGACAAGGACAAGAAAGACTACTCGATTTTCTGGTCACCCTTGATTCTCAGCCTAAATGTTCTAATGCTCAGTTGTGATACCCTGTACAGTCATGACAAGTAGTGGTTGTGCCCAGCAGTTTCTTTGGGAAGGGTTTGGATTGCTAGGAGTTGATCAAAAGGAAGCATGGACTGTATTTCTTGGGAGTTTATGGATTTCATTAAAAACCTTGTATGCAAAGAATTGAATTCCCTTTTTTATTTTGTATTTGTAAATAAATAAAATCCTTTCAATACTTGATCAAGTGGGTAGTAATGCTTTTCAAAAATGGCTGAAATTTGTGGATATATGTGTATGTGCACCATTTGGAGACGAAGGAAAAAAGGTAGGAGAGAGGTCAGACATGAAACACAACTCACTTTATTTCTAGGAGTTTTTTTCCTGCAAGCAGAAAGTAACTGTCAAATCTGATTTGCTGTATTTCTCCGGAGGCTAATGCGGGTGCATACCTGTATATTTTATTCCCAGGTGCATGTTTCTGTATCTCTGTAACACTTCGGTCATTTAAGGAACAAGGCGGCTCTAGTAAGTGCATTAACTCAACTCTCCCCTCTCTTCTTCTACCCTTGTCACCTCAAAGTTGTGATTCTTCCTCCGCATGCTTTCCCTAGGATAGCGCTGATCGCTACTGCAGCTTAAGGCAAAGGTACAAGGAACACAAACTGGTCCTGAGCACCGACAGGATACGTAGAGCTTTTTTGTAAAGGTAGGCATGACTCTACGACTTTATGTAACAGAGACTAGGATAGAGAAATCTCATTACTGGGCAAGTAAGTGGGATCTAGACACTGAAATCAGTACCAGCAACCCCGTGTGGTGAGCTGCTGAAAGCGCTACCCTGTCACAGTTCAACAGCGTGAAGGAACTGTGTAAGCAGCAAGCCACCGTAGTGTGTTACTACTGAAATCCTGATTGACAGGACGAATAAAGCCAGCCTCAAGTTGATCACATCAGCTTAATCAAGTAAAAAGGAAACAACAAACCCCAACACAAAAACAGCCCACCTAAAAAACCAACAGGCACTCCCCACCCAACTACAGAATACTTTGATTCTTGGGACTTCTATGTTTCTTATAATTTCCCCATTCTTCGCATAGGGTGGGTGGTTTTAAACCAGCTGAACAGCATCAGAGATGGTGATGAGTTACCACATTCAGGTAGCTAAGATTAAGGCCTCTCTCACTGTGGCTGCTGTGACTGCAGAACTATTGTCTAGGAGTTTTTGGGAAGTAGGAAATTATTCTCCTTGGCTTAAGAGTGAGGGTTGTCCTGAACCCTGAGAACAACACTGCAGCCGAGGCCCAGAGCAATCCACCACCTAATAAATAGATAAATAAATAAATAACCTAATCAGACGAGGGTTTCGAATGTGTCTGCACCAGGGCAGGGAGGGTCCCTTAATAAAAACCTTCTGACCCAGCCAGCTACATCACTGTATTCTAAGTCAATTTGAAGTAAGTCAAATACGGGCTTGTACTACAAATAATCTTGGTAGCCACACACGGATTGTGTTGTTCAGGCGACCTGGTTGTAAGTACTGTGGCACCTATATTGCCTAAGCAACCCAATCCCAAATCCCACCATGGGAAGTGACTTTACCAAGGTGTGTACTTCATGATTACTGGACTCCAGCTGTGTAAGCAGCTGTAGTGGCTAGTAATAAAACAATCTTGCCACCAACTGTAGAGCCCACAGAACTAGTGCCAGGATATACCTTCGACTAAGGTTCGTAACAGCATGGATGCATCCATGTAATCCACAGGACTGAAGAAGTGGAACGAGCACCACCCACACTGTAAGCCACACTAAGCACACAAAAGGTGTTACAGGAATTCATCAGGCTCGTTTAAGCTTCGACAGGCTCCAGCCTTTCTTGCATCTCACCACGTGCATCTGCTCTGTATTACCACAATAAGGCTGGAAAGCTTTTTTTGCAACGTGCCCCCCTACATAACCAACAAGAAGCTTACATATTAGGGATGAATCATTCTACTCGTTTATTGTGAATCTGCAGCTTCCTTCAAAGCAAACCCGTTCAGAAAGAAAACGCTGATCGTAGGCTGGCTGGCCTTACCCCCTCACGCAGGTTTCTCCGCTAGGATGAAGTCCAACGGGACAGCAGCACGCATCCTCTGCAAGAAGTACCAGGTTTGAGTATGCTCTTGCTCATCTTGCCGTGGATTATGCCGTAGAGTACCCGGCCACTGCTCTCCTCCTACACCACTGAAGGCTGCCGAAGGAGGGGAAGAGCATCTCCACCTTTGATCTTTTCATCTCCTTGTGCATATCCTCTTACAAATGCTGCTTTGGGTAAGGCAGAGTATCTAAAAATCTCCTCGGTGGCATGACTTAGCTGCATTTATGGGCAGGCCGTTGAATTTTGAGAATGCAGACTGTGGTACCGGGCAGTCTGTGAGCTGCGTAGTAATGCACAGCATAGAAACATCTTCAAGTACGTCTGGGAGCCACAGAGTCGAGCTGATACGTCAGTTCTGGGAGGCCTTCTGTTGTCACAACTGCAGCCATTTTATAATGTAGTAATTTTTTTTTCCAACCCTAAGCAATGATACTCCATTCTGGAGAATATGCTGTCCGAGAACAAGAATAGTCTCGGGATCAGTTACTCGAATCCCATTTACTGAAACTCCACCATCTGTTATTTTCTGGTACCTTAAAAAAAAAAAAAAAAGGCAGAACTGGTAATTGTAAGAAGATTTTTTTAAATAATTTTTTTAAATTATTGTTAAGAATTCAAAGTTCAGTTAAGAGTTTTTTGGTTGGATCCATAATGGAATAAATTTTAATTCTCTTGCACTTTAACTCAAGGTCAAGAGTGACTGAAATTAACTGTAGCCTTTACCACTCCCATTCTTTGGGAGAGGCATAAGGAGACTTAAGCTGTTGACTCAGACTTCAGTGGTGTTACGTAGATTACTAGCCTGCTGCTACTCGATTTGGCTGTCCTAACTGTTTAGCTTCTGAAAGCACACCACTACCACCTGTTTACGTGAGCTGTTGCCAAAGACCACCGGTGATAACTTACCCACTAGGTCCGTCTGGAATGGCATTTGCTTTGCGACACAAGTCAAGAACGTTCATTCCGGGTTCAAGCAGCAATTCAGCCGAAGGAGCTTGTTTAAAAAGTTCCTGTAACTCTTGGTCAGACATAGCTTCCAATGCCTCCATGCTGCTGTAATACAGGGCCTTAGTACACCTGCGAGAGCAAAGATCATTCAAATACAGTGCGAGTCTCATCTTCATGCCAAGCGCTACGCAACTAACCAATTCCCCTCCCCAGTGAGGGCCCGCACAGTAACACAAGTACCTGAAGTACACCCCAATTTTTTTATCGTAGTGCACTGCGCTGCAATTTTTTTTTTAAATATTGTTAATGTATTTTTACATCTACGGAATTACTACATTTTTCTCTTTAAACAGCTGGGCAACAACTTACCTGCGTGAAAACAGACCCTGAAAAGTAATTACCCCTGAATAAATGTGAAAGAAAACTGCTTGACAAATCAGACATCACCTCTTAGCAGACTCTAGCCCCTCTCTACCATGAACAAGCTTGGTCACTTCTGCAGCAAGTCGCTTCTGAGGGCCCCATTTTTCAGGTTCTTTAGCGTGCATTTCCATGATGTGGTCAATCTCCTCAAGAGGAAGGAAGGTGAAGAGTTTCAGGTATCTATGAGCAATGCAAAAAAGAGTTTGACTATGGAGCCATCATTACAGATTTCCTGCCTTTGGCATTCCAACTTCAGCAACTACACTAAAATGATTAAGAAATCCCTATTACAGATACTGTGTCCTTTCAAACAGCTCTTTGTCTTTGCCCACATGCTTCATCCTACCAGGTTAACTCCAGTTTTAATATTCCACTTAGGGTAATGTCTTCAGACATGTCAAATGCTTCCATAAGGCTTGCATTGCCCTCAGCAAGTTGGTTTTCTCTTGAAACAGTTACTTTATAGGATTTATTTCAACTGTAAGTCAACTAACAAGGTTTTATATTATATTCCTAGTAGTTGCAGAATCTGCTAACGAAAGTCATCAGCCATGGGACAGAAGTAGGCCATGCCGTGACGAGCGAGTATCTCGACAGGAAGATTTTGAAAGGTGTGTATCTGAGCACAGTCCATTTTAATGGGCTCGGAGTAGCATGAAGTGCAGTGTACTGAAAAAGGTACCTTTCCTGTTACAAAGTCTGAATGCGTAAATCGTGTTCATCGCCCACATACCCTCCTTACCAGCCTGAAACGTGTGGATGCAGAACCTAAATTGGAAATAATCGGGCATAAAGCTTTGAGAGGGGTAACCGAGTTGTGAGGGAGGTCGCAATATGACAGGGAAGTACCTGTCTGAGGTTTATCAAAACTCAGATTTGACAGCAATACTGGAATTTAAAGAAAATAAGATTTAAAAGAGAACATATAGCAACTTACTAAAATTAACGTAAGGCCCTGAATAAAGCTATCGGCTATTTATTTTCACCAGCCTGGAGGCTAGCCACCAATGAAGGCATCGTGTCAAATGTGGTTTCCCCCGTATTTCTGCTACCCATTCATGTTCTCTCTATTCAATTTTAGTATTTTTACACTGGTCAGTAAGAATACGAGTTATGTGTGGTTGACGTGGATTCAGAGCGAGCACAGTGAATCCAACACCACGTTTTGCACATTGCAAGAGCTCTACCCTAAGTAATGATTACTCAGAGTTTTGTCTCTGTACATGCTACAGCTTTAAGTGGTAGTTGGACAGTGTAACTCTGTCCTAGGCATGTTTTCATCTGGACCAGTGGTTTCCAGAGTGGGGTGCCAGCACCCCAGGACAGATGCAAGATGATCAATCCACTGGGGTGCAGGAAGAAAATTTTAGGACTTCAGTAATACACATATATAATCTATAAACAAATAGACAGGTATGGGGAGTGCATGCTCAAGTGTTTGTTACTGATGGGGTGCACGATGAAAGTAATTTGGAGACCGTTAATACAATCATACACAGGAACTTCCTGGCTTTTCCTAACATGGCTCTATTTCAGTCTGCTTAGGGAGATGCAGTTTTTAATGCGAAGCAGTTCTAAAAGCTGAACGTTATGCGTTTGCTTTTAACCAGTTAAGTAGCTTCTGGCAACGAGATTGTGGTGTTTCTGGATACCTCATACTAGGTAAAAACTTGGAGCTAGTTGATCTCTATTCATAGCAGTCGCTTATTGCTCAGCAGGAGATTTAATTCGATGATGTTACGGTACTGAAGGTAATATACCCCGTAAGGTAAAGGCACTCCACTGTCCGAACAAACTGCGCTGAGCGTTACTTGTCTGTTCATCCACATTCTGATTTTATGAGGCACATGCCAGAGTACGGAGACAAGTTCCACTACCCTGTATACTCACGAATCTGTCACACCCCTTTATTTACTGAACGTACAGTTACAATTAGCATACCCTTTTACAAGGAGCTCGCGCTGCATGTATCCACGTGGAACAGCTACAGAGAACAGTTAGGGCCAGGTTTTATATACAACAACAGAAAGCAAGCTGATCTGTTCATCCACATTCTGATTTTATGAGGCACATGCCAGAGTACGGAGACAAGTTCCACTACCCTGTATACTCACGAATCCATCACATCCCTTTATTTACTGAACGTACAGTTACAATTAGCATACCCTTTTACAGGGAGCTCGCGCTGCACGTATCCACGTGGAACAGTTAGGGCCAGGTTTTATAAACAACAACAGAATGCAAGCTGAAGAAAAGCTACTTACTTTTCAACTGTGTTATCTTGCTGTCTGACAAAAAACTGATACAGTTCAAATGGTGAAGTCTTATCTCTGTTCAGCCAAACTGCATTGCCAGCAGTCTTTCCCAGTTTATCTCCAGTAGTACTGGTAATAAGAGGTACAGTAATTCCAAACACATCTGTTCCTGTCATCCTGAGAAAGAGAAGAGTGTTAAGATGTTAAAAAAATAATAATTTAAAAAAACCCCACACCTTGGTAAAGTTGACTAAAATGTAAGTGTTCGGCAAGATTCTATCCTTGACATAAAGCAGTTAAATCAGACAGAGGGGTGAGGGGCAAGGTGCCAGAACACTGTTTTATGAGTGTTTTAGGAAAACAACAAACAACCCTTGAACTTAAATTTTTAAGTTCTTTTGTGTGTGACAAAGAAGTTCACATACTTTAAAGTAGTTTCATGAGCAACAGAACTGGCAAACTCAAGCGTCCTGTACGTTTTGTCTTCTGCCCCGAGCACTAATCAAAGCTGCATGTGGGACCGTTTGGGCTTTTCTTCCATGCTGACTCTCCAACAGTCTTGCAGGAGCCAAGCGCACACTGAACCAGTGGCACTGCCCTCATCGCTCTCTGATCTGCTCGTACGCTTCTGCGAATGTTAGAGAATCGCAGAATGGTTTGGGTTGGAAGGGACCTTAAAGACCATCCGGTTCCAACCCCCCTGCCATGGGCAGGGACACCTTCCACTAGACCAGGTTGCTCAAAGCCTCATCCAGCCTGGCCTTGAACATTCCCAGGGATGGGGCATCCACAGCTTCTCTGCGCAACCTGTCCCAGTGCTTCACCACCCTCTCCGGGAAGAATTCTCTCCTGATGTCCAATCTCAATCTTACCCGTTGGATTGTAGGATGTTGTAAGACTCCTACCAAATGAGCAAAAAGCTCACCATCATCATCACATTTTATTCCAAAAGACGGAAAGCGGCCGTCTTTACCCATGTACCACAACCACCTCTGCTCGGGTGTCGTTACATCAGAACGCGTTGGCCCGCAGGAGGCTCGTCTCGACTTTGCCCCCCGTTTCAGGATACCGGATTCCTACAAGAACCCATCCCTTCTGATAAAAAAAAGATGAAGGTTCATGGCTTTAAGCCTTGGCCAAAACGTTCGGTTGCGCCAGGCCCACGGTCGGGCCAAGGCGCGCTTCCCCCAACCCCCC